CATTTCTGAGAAGTAGTCATTTCCTAAGAGTACTTAATACTAGCAATAAAGATACCTACCATAAACAATTTAAAAGCATCAATTCAGGAATTAAACTAGAAAAATAGAAAATTAGAAGACACAAAAGCAAGATGCAACCCCAGATGTCCAGCTCACCAAAGGAAAATCCAGGGGGCAATGAGGTGGAACAATTCTTAAAACTCACCCACCTGGACTCTCTGAAGTGGTAACAGAAGTACCAAAGCAGATGAATGAGGCTCTAGAAAAAAATCAGAAATCATTTCTCAAATAACTTCAGAGATTATGACCATAATGAAGAGCATGATTAATGAATCTAGAGAAAATACAGATTAAAAAATAGAAAAGCTAAGGAAAATGATGGCAACCATAAATGCCCAGCATAGAAAAGAAATGGAATTCATGAAACAGAGTCAATCAGATATCCAGATTTAAAATTCCACTTAAGTATATACAACATATGAACCAATGTGAGGACAGACTATCAGATATAGAAAACAGGGTTGCAGTTAGTGATCATGAAAAGTAAGAATTCTTGGGTGGGAGATTTAGCTCAGTGGCACTGTGCCTGCTTCACAAGCACAAGGTCCTGATTTCAATCCCTGGTATTCAAAAAGAAAAGATTTCTTACAAATAGCAAGGGGGTCACAAAAAATCAATCCAAAGGCTGCTAGGCGGTAGAGGCATGAATGGAGCAGTGGGTAAAGGATATCTGTATCTTCTGTTTATCTGTGCTATGAACCTAAACCACTCTAAAAAAATGAAGTCTATTTAAAACAAAGAACAAGTGGCAGTTTGGTATTATAGTTTGCCAACTTCCACTCCAGAATCTCCTGGGGAGTTTGAAAAGTTCCAATTGCCTGGCCAGTTAAGTCAGCATCTCCACGGGTAGGGTAGCAACGTTTTCTTTTAAAACCTCAGACCTGCTAAAATGCAGTTAGGATAGAGAATTGTTAACCTAGCTAGGATAAAATAGCTCAGGCTGGAAATATAGCTCAGTGGTGCCACCGCCTGCTTTGCAAGTGCAAGGCTCTGAGTTGATCCAAGGTACCAGAAAAAAAAAAAAAAAAATGCTCAAATCAGTTGAGCACTGGCTGCCTGGACCTTATTCTACGCAGTTAGGCAGTCACTCATTTAAATTTCATTCATTGATAAGGGGAGCATTAATTTTCCCCATTTCACAATGCGAAAACTGAGGCGTGGAGACTTAGGTAGTCCCAGAATAGCCAGAGCTGAAGGACACAGGTACTGGAGATCAGCTGGAGGGCACCAAAGGGCAGAGGAATAGCACAGCAAGACAGGGTCACCAGCACAGTGGCCAGTGCTACTATTTGGCAGTGTATTACCACGTTAAAAACTCAATGTATCTATAAGAATGGTTTCACCTTGTGGCACCCAAGTGGTAACTGAGAACAGAAAGTAGTGAGTCAGCTATTTCTAACTAACTGCAATGAAAGGATCAGGCATGGCAGAACATCACCACTATGACAAGTATGGCTCAGGTATAGCAAAACAGACACCCATCCTGATAAAGCCCCAGGAAAATTGTAAGGGAAGAGCTCAAGTCCTTGTGTGTTCTGGGTCATTCATCCCCCTCATGACTTCAAACCTGCCCCACCAGCTCTTTCATGCTACAAATCATGACCAGCCAGCAGCAACAGACATCCCTAGATTCAGAGTATGGTCTCAAATGTTCTCACTAAAATAAAAGATAAACACACAGCAAGGCTTTTTGGAATCATGGCTTAAGTCCAGGTGTGGACAGGAAACGATAAGTCTGAAACACATTGTCTTGCCAAATAGCAATGAAGCTATTAAAAATTATTAGGATCACCAGGCATGGTGGTGCATGCCTGTAATCCCAGCACTCAGGAGGCTGAGGCAGGAGGATTGCTGTAAGTTCAAGACCAGCCTGGGCTACATAATGAGTTCCATCCAGGTCAGTCTCAACTACATAGTGAGACCCTGTATCAAAAAACAAAAAAACAAAACAAAAAATATATATTAGGTTCATATCAGAAGGATTCCAGAACCAACAACTTAAAAATAGTTCTAAGATATCACCTCTTATGGGTTGCATGGTGTTCCCCAAAATTCACATGTAGAAGTTCTAACTCTATTACTTCAGAACATGCCCTTATTTGAAATTGGGTCACAGAAACTGTAACAGTTAACATAAGGAGTGGGTTGGCCCCAAGTCCAATATGGCTTGTGTCCTCATAAAGGGGAAAAATTGGGATACAGGACAGCATGGGGGGAAGAAGGCAGAGACTGTGGGTGACTATAGCCTGAGCCATGCCCCATCACAAGCAAACCACCTGAGGAAAGAGGCTTGGAACAGGCTCTGCACAGAACTGCAAGTCAAAACCTTGTTATTTAAACCACCCAGCTGTGGTAGTTGTTACAGCAGCCCCAGGAAGCACACAGCACCCAAGCTTCATGCCCCTGGGTGCCCACATCTGTGTATGCCCATCTCTGGGTGTGAGCAGAACTTGCGGATATGATAGATGTCACTCCCATGATTGTTACACTAGATGGTAGAAAGTATTTTACAGAGGCAATGAAGGTCCCTGATCCGTTGGGTTTGAGTTCATCAGAAGGTCAGTTGTCCCGTGTAGCCCTGACCTAATCAGACGAGTCCTAGAAAGGGAATGGCCCTTCTCAGAGGGATGTAGAGCAGGAGAGTTGCAGGTCCATGGAGAAGGCCACATGGCCAGGACCCAAGAGTGACCTCCAGAAACTAGGAGTGGCCCCTTCACTGACAGCCAGCAAAATCCAAGGTCCTCAGTTCTTCAAGCACAAAGAACTGACTCCTCCCAGTAATGTGGACACTGGGGTGGAAGCTGCTGGCCCAGCCCATGATTGTAGTCTTTAAGGTCCTGTGCAGAGAAACCAGCTCTGCCATGTTTAGACTGTTCATCTACAGAACCAGAAGACACTAAGTAGGCATTGCTGGCAACTGCTAAGCTCTATTTTGTTATGATGCAACTGAAAACTAACAGACAAGCCAAGCTCAAAGCTGTGAAAATAAAGTATTTTTTTAAAATTACCTAATGCAACAGTGTGCGTTTTCATTATAATGTTAGTTATAAGTAGGAAAAAAGTTAACATTAGCAAACCATTCTAGATTCCTAAAGTGCAGTAAGGACAAGAGAGTTTTCAAATATGCTAAAAATAATTCTAATTGCTATCAATTGGTAAAAAGCAGTCAGCTGAAAAGAGGGCTCATGTATCTGAAGTATGAGCCCCCCACACCTCCCAGGTTCCAAGTACATGAGTAGCTGAGGAGTGGCAGGGAACTTGCTGCTGCCTCCCAACCAGAAGTATGGAACGACAGTCCCATGCCTCTTGTTCCAAGGCTCAGGGGCCTGCAAGGGGTGTGAAGGTGAGAGAGAAGGGAGGATCCTGGGAAATGTTTGCATCACAGGTGTGATTTCACAGAAGCCAGCGGTCCATTGCAAGTGGGAAATATTGGCAGACTGATCAGTGGATTTCAGATCCAGAAGCATTCTTTTTCTCCTTGGGTATCTATTAAGTGCACAACAGGAGAACTGGGAAGCTGGACAACAAGGTAGCATTTATTGAGCACCTACAAGACACTCTGGTCCTGGTTGGTTGACAGCTGTACTAGACACTTTTGCTCTGCTTTCAGCTTCATGGACACCTGTACTAGTCAGGGTTCTCCAGAGAAGGAGAACCAACAGAGTATGTACGCAGAGATTTATTGTGGAGATTGGCTCAATTATGGAGATTAGTAACAAAGTCTGCAAGGTGGGCTGGCAGGGTGGGGCACCAGAAGGACCCGGAGACAGGAGACCGGGGTAGAGCGGCTACTCCCCTGGAGGAGGGAGGCTGGGTGATTTCTCTTGCTCAGGAGAGGCCAGTCTTTTTCCCTCCTATTTAAGCCTTCAACAGGCCAACTCACACAATGGACAGTCACTTTAATCAAAGTCTGCCAATTTATAAACAGTGATTTCATTCACATACATCCTCGCTTATTAACATGTTTATTTCTATTAGTATGTGTCTGCAGCACATAATGACGGCATTCCCCTTGAGGAGCTGGTTCAGTGCACAGCACATCTCAGTCTGTCTTCACCAACTTCCGCTGCTCTGCCTCCCCCTCCCTCCATCTGTCGGGCCCCTTCCCATTTGCAGAAGATCCATCACCCTAAAGCTTGACTAAACTTCTGGGCAACCACGATCCAACCAAGCTGGCATAAAATTAACTACCATCCACCTGAAAGGCAGATATTTCTCTAGTTTGCTATGAGGAGACACCAAATGGCGGCATCGAGCGAGACATCCAACTCAGCAGCCGACAGATCAAGCTGCAACCCAACCTGGTCTCTGTGACCCCAGAAAGCCACAGCCATAGAGGCAGAGTGCATCGCCGAGCCGAGCCTGGAAAGAGTGAGTCTGTGTATGGACTCCTCAAATGAGTATCCAGTGAACTGACAAGTACTTGCGCTCGTACTGTTCACTGAGCTGTCAGAGAACTAAAATGTCCTCTTGGAGTCAAAAACGAGATGATGCAAAAACGCTGTGGCAGGTGTCGGTTCTGTCCGGTGCAGGTGCTGGCGCGAGCACTGTGCCACCCCCAGATTCACGGCGGCAGCACGTGGCGGGCCGGGCTGGGACCCGGGTCTGTCCACTCTCTGCCCTTCGCGGGTGACCCCCGGTGGCCAGGGTCTCCCGGACAAGCAGGGACGTCAGGG